GAGAGAGAGAGAGAGAGAGAGAGAGAGAGAGAGAATCTCAAGCGTGGAGCCTGATGTGGAGCTCCATGTCACCATAGTGAGATCATGACCTAAGCCAAAATCAAGCGTCAGATACTTAGCCCACTAAGCCACCCAGGTGCCCCTCCAATTTGTAATGAGTAGGATATTTTCTCACTTTTTTTTCTGCCAGAAATGTCAAAGCTAGAGTTGGAAGTGACCCCGAAGGTAAGGGACACTTCAGGTGTTATATGAGTGGTGACAAGCTAAAGTTGCAGTTAATAGTCGTTGGCTATGAGCCATGGTGATCTCATCTGTGCTAGAACGTTAACCAAGGACTCTTGCACCTGGAGGAGGAAAGGCCAGGGAGATGGAGAAATAATTATAAAAGGCAGGGACCTGAGGAAGAGAAAATCTTAAGAAAGAGGAGAATAAAAAATAACAAGTGTTGGGGAAGGTGTGGAGAAAAGGAAACCCTCATGCACTGTTGGTAGTGATGTAAATTGTTGTGGCCACTATGAAGACAGTATGGAGGTTCCTCAAAAAAATTAAAAATAGGGGGCGCCTGGGTGGCTCAGTCGGTTAAGCATGTGTCTTCAGCTCAGGTCATGATCTCACGGTTCATGAGTTTGAGCCCCACATTGGGCTGTCTGCTGTCAGCGTGGAGCCTGCTTTGGATCCTCTGTCTCCCTCTCTCTCTGCCCCTCCCCGCTGTGTCCCTCAAAAATAAGTAAACATTTTTTTTAAAAATAATATTTAAAAAAATTAAAAATAGGACTACCATACGATTCAGCAATCCCACTTCTGGGTATCTATGTGAAGAAAATGAAAATACTAAAACCCCATATAGTAAACTAATATGTTCACTGCAGCATTGTGTACAATAGCCAAGGTATGGAAATAACCTAAGTGTCCATCAATGGATGAATGGATAAAGAAGATGCAGTCTGTATGCAAAATGGAATATTACTCAGCCATAAAAAGAAGGAAATGGTGCTATTTGCAACAACATGGATGGAACTTGAAAGCACGATCCTCAGTGAATTAAGTCAGACACAGAAAGACAAATACCATATAATCTCACATGTAGAATTTAAATAAAGATAAGAACAAAAACAAAACCTGGGCTTATAGACACAGAGAACAGATTGGTGGTTACCAGAGGTAGGAATGGGCGGTGGGGGAAATGGGTGAAGGGAGTCAAAATGCAGAAACTTTCAGCTATAAAATAAGTAACCCCTGGGGGTGGAATAGCGACCTTAGCTGATAATATTGTATTGTATATTTGAAAGCTGCTAGGCGATTAGATCTTTAAAATGCTCATCACAAGGGGACAAAAGGCACTGTGTGGTGGTGAATGTTACCTAGACTTCCTGTGGTGATCATTTCACAATATGTACAGATTTTGAATCATGTTGTGCACCTGAAACTAATATGATGTTATATGCCAATTATCTCCATTTTAAACCAGAAAAAGAATCCCTTCATTTCTTAAAGGAAAATAAACACTGACGGGTTCTATAATAATGTAAAAAAGGGGGGCGGGGAGGACTTCAGAGCTTGGGTGGAACTGGAGATGAGGGACTCCTTCTCTCTCCAGTGCTCCTGTCGTCCACTGCTCTCTGCTCTCCACTCTCTAGGTGAAGCCGGAGGATTGGGAGAAATATGCTTTTTGACCTTTCCTTTGCAAAGCTCCCCAAAACTACAATCGAGCTGAACTTTAGGGCAAATCATGGTCCTTACACGCCTTTGGCTTTCTTGGTGGGAGTTGTCCCCACCCGTGAATGACTTGGCATAGAAGGATCAGGGATCATATACCCAGGTGAAAAAGTCAGTGGCTACTTGAGTGTTTGGTGTGCTAGGCCCCAAGCTGGTGGAAGGATTATGGCTAAGGGCTGTTTTGACTTTGGAACCATATAAATGTTTTACGTAACCATAAAACAAAATGGAATAAAAACAGAAATGAGGGGTAACCAATGAATTTAACCATATACCAAGTTGCTGACATAATGGCACAGAGAATGGCCTGGAGCTATTGACTAATGCAGTAGTAAAACCAGAACAAAAACAGCTGCTAAAGACATCTTAAATTCTTTTCAGTTTATCTGTGTTATTGTTATTTCTAGATTACACACACACACACACACACACACACAAAGTGAATATATAATTATGTTAATGTCATTAGGAATCAAGATTTTCTGCATAAAATGGACACAAATCAAAGAAGTCAAAGCCTGGTGGTCCCGAATTTGAACTGGAAATAGCAGTATAAAACTATCTTCCCTTAAAAGATACACAGTAAAACCTTGCTTTGTGAGCATAATTTGTTCTGCAAACATGGTTGTAACCCAAAGCACTTGTATATCAGAGTGAATTTGCCCATAAGAAATATTGCAAACTCGGGCGCCTAGGTGGCTCAGTTGGTTGAGTGTCCTGACTTCCGCTCAGGTCATGATCTCGCAGTCCGTGAGTTTGAG